CTAATGGTATAATCGTGATGAGAGCATATCGTACATGACGACTTATTTCTGAATTGTGTGCTCTGTGTACTATAGTATGCGTAGCTGTAGGGTTACGCATTCTTTATATGTATGTAACATACACTTGTGACTGTGAACATCTATCCTTATGTGTGTTATGTTGGATGCATATACCTTTTATCTGGGCATTCTATATATACATGTAGCGCATACTTGCGGCAGTTCCACATTTCAAACTGGTGTGTTCACCACAGTTCTTGACGATTTTGGGTTGTTCAGGAGTTTCCAAAGGTGATAGGAAAGTGTAGACAAAATGCGTCTGTCTACACCACAGAAAAGTGTTGGCTGTAAGGTGTCCGGCTGTATTACAGATATCAATTTCTCTAATCACATGCACGAGTTACAGAGTAAATTGTTAACGTATCCGTTTACTTTGCTTTCTCCAGCAATTCATTTGCTCACCGTTGCGAAGCTCTTTTCTTTAATCGTAGGAGCTACTGGGTTCTCCTACTGTGTTGAGAGAAAATATTACTAATACTACTACTATTGTTAACTTTCAGCAAATTATGAATTTAGTCTTATTCTGGTTTAAGTTTTCTATTTAATCACTTGTCATAGATTCCTATGACCGAACTGGTGAAAACTTCCTCTCTGAACATTCTCAACATACTCTCATGGAGATAGTTCACGATAATGAAATTACAGGACGAAACGTTTGTAGAATTCATATCAAATATTTATCAGTGGTAATTTTCAATATTGTAAAGATGGAGAGAACAGTTGTGTAATAGTTTCCTTTATCAGACAGTAAACATGGTTTCCCTAATTATTAAAATGATATAAACATTTGATTCGACATGATCTAATAACCGTTTTATATTCTTATGTGAATTCAAAATGAAAAAGGCTACAATACCATTTTAACTTCCAATTTTTCACACATGAAAAACATGATTATTTTTTAAATTATTGAATGAGCAGAAATTTCTCCAGATATTCAAAATCTAGTCCTATTGTGAAATATAAAACAAATAGAGAAGTATTACCATTGATATACTTCACTGCTGAGTACACGTATTTAACGGTGATACATTATCAGTATGCGGTTTTGGAGATTATTAAGTTATTTTGATTGAGATCGTGAACCAATTGATGCTAGAACACCACTGAAGACCTGGAAGCACTGGACGGCCATTTCGTCCTGTTAAGGGACTCCTCAGCAGTGTGCATCCACGATCTCGCTCACAGAATTTGAACCCAGGGCTTTCAGTCTCATGCGCGAACACTTAAACTCTAGACTACTAAGTCGGCTTCAAACGTTGTTAATCTCTAACCTCAACCAATTAGCGAAATTGTGCGACCATCTTCTATTGTACTGAAGTAGATATCTCTCTCTACCCGACACGGATGAAATATTAATTCGTGAAAAATAGAAACATCTCAGTAAAGAACCATCCCGTTTATTTGTAAATACGTCTTTATCGAAACATTACAAATTCTTCTTAAATAAATAATACAGTCCTCTATATTTTAATCTTCTTATCATGAATTTTCTAATCAGAAATGTTGTCAAATATTTAGAAGAGTATTTACGCTTTAAATTCGCCTCAAAATGTATATCTTGGGAACATTCAAGGTATCATACTCTATAGTAATTGCATCCTTTATAAAGAACATTACAGCTGTCCTCGATAATTGACATTACTAACTTGGATTGATAAATATCACCATGACTTGATCATGTTTAATTCATTAAATGAATTGGAGTGTATTTTTGTATTATGGACTGTACACTAATATGTTACCTTTAAGTTGTATCAGTAACTTAATTTTACCAAGAATGTAATGTCACCTAACTGTATATAAATAGCGAATAAGAGTAATGTAGTTCAACTGCTATCTGTAAACTGATTTAGATTTTAGCCAATTATTTTTCTTATGTAAATTCTCATCACGTAGAAAACTTATAACTCCCCTAAAACATTGTATTTACAAATGTTCAGTGTTCTATTAGATGACTGAAACAGTGTCATGTTAACTAATAATGCCGAAATCCTTTTTTTAATATGATTGAAGAAGCGCTATCACTTCAACCTTACTTCTTCATGGCATATGATAAACTTTAAATACTATTTCAAAGTCTACTTTGCATAAGCCAACATCCATAATTTAGCACAACTACTTGTAATTTAAAAGTAGTTTATGAAATTTAAATAAATTTTGTATACAATGAGCATGATTGTCACAATAACGACGGAACCTTTATACCTAAGAAGAATGCCTAGGTAACCGTAGCACTTGAACGAGACAGAACCTAGCTACTTAACTGGAAAATATAATAACAATATTTGTCATCGTCTGATTAAAACGTTATTGGTTTCTCATGAAAAAAATTCCCTTACCAAGTGATATCAAGATTTAATTTTTGGCGACTTAAATGAAAATCTGTCCTTAATGGTTATTAGAAACATTACTTGATTACCTTGGAACAGGTAATATCCATCACTCTATACTCTTATTTTTATATCTTCTTAGGAAAAACCATATTACTTTGCGGCAGCTGTCGCATTTTAAAAGGATTGATGATATTTATATTATCTTGCTCAGGCTGTATGGCAGCCTTAAATAAAACTAGGAATTATGTTAAGGCATAAACTTTCTGACGATCAACAGGATAAACTGAAGTGCACTACAATACACATGAATCACAGGCGAATAAATAATACTAAATGAACAAGCATAATTTCTCCACCAATTAAGTAACAAGCAATTCTGTTATCATTTATCTTGTGTAAAGTAAACAATTGTTGTCATCGGTACAAATATTTTTATATAACTGTGTCATTATTCAGTAAAATGTATCACTTCCAATGAAGCAAATAATAACTGGTCAAAGTAACTGGGTGGATAATTCAAAAGATAATTCCTACTCTGTGTATGACAATAAAGATGTGGTTTTTTAGTAAATAATACTTGGAAATACATTAAAATGCTTAAACCATTATGGAAACTCTTACATTTCAAGAAACCTCGGTGCATTACAGAAATCTCCTCTTCGTAACAAAGTCTTCTTGGCGTATACATAACTTTAAATCAAATGATAATTAGCATTAAGGCAAAATACTATCTGAATATCAATATTTATCATCCGTCCATCATTCAACAGTTATAATAACAATGATAAGAACTACGATTTACTTTGCTTCATGATCATGATTTCATCAACAGTTTTATCTAATAATATGTCAAATAACGAAAATTGATATTATATAAAAAATTTTCATGTGTGAATTGATGGACAAATAAAATTCACTTTATCAGTTCCGAAAAGCGTATACATAGAAATGGGATTATAAACTGAATTTTCAAAAAATCCTGATTAACTTAAACGACGATATGTTTACAAAACGTATGAATCAACAGATCACCTTATCTTCAAATCTTAAATGAACGATCCCCCATGATGTGCAGCTTAAGGAATAACTAATGCTTCGAATTGTGGATGCGCACTGCTGAGGAGTTCCATACCAGGTTTTCAATGGTGGTCTAACATTAATCGATTCATGATCTCAATAAAAAAACTCAACAACCTTCACAACCTCTTGCAGATAAATAAATAACCATTAGAAGACTTTCGTAAACTCTTACACTTTTCATCGTTTTCCTAATGACAGATTTGACGTAATTTCCTACAATATTTCCCGTTATCGGAGAATAGATTTTATATGAAATTAAAGATAATAAACCTCAACTACATAATTGGACTAATATTTTGTAATTAGACAGTGGATTTTCAAATAAAAATAATTTTAGGTAATATATTTACGTATACTACTGGTGTGGTGTGTGCTAATTATATTGACATAAGTAGTATATGATGTCAGTCGTGAACAGAAGGTCTGGCAGCAAAGAGACAAGAGCATCGAACAGTAAAGAATGGAAACACGATGTAATTTGTATGAAAATTTTGAGACAACTGGTGGACATTTTGCAAATTAAGAATTTATTTTATGATTGTTAGATTTTGTTAACAAGTCCTGTAATTTTATGTTTAATAAATTAGATTGTCCCCACTGGTGTTCTTGTTCACTACACTGGTACACTGACGTATTTACTATAATGAATACCTTCAAGTACTCAATAGAACATTTAACCATACTGTTTGGGAATGAGAAAGGCACCTTCGGCTAGTTTTAACGTAGATCATCATTTCTAATTAGAACGTTTGAAATATTTATTATCAAATACTGGTATTACTACCTGATACATTATTATGCAACACTCTCAGTAAAAGTTGATAAAGCTTAATTAGTTTACTGAGAAGAATCCATTAAATAACTTCTAAGTACTCTTTAATTTTACGAAAAAATTGAATATAATAGTTGAATTCATGTGTCAATTGGAGCTGGACCACCATGGTAAACCTGGAAGCACTGGACGGCCGTTTCGTTTTAGTATAGGACTCCTCAGCAGGGTAGTGAATGCGCACTGCTTATGGTAGTCTATAGTTAATTGACTCATGAATTCAGTTATTAAATTACTATAATATCTATAAAAAAACTTATCTGATTAAAATTGAATAAGTGTGATTTAATTAACAAAATATATTGAAAACAATAATTAAACACACTCATTATTTTTATGTACTATTAATGATACACTTATGTAGATAATTATGCTATATACCCTACTTTTCACTTCAATTTTAGTAATATAAACTGGATTTTCGTATTTTGTATCAGTTGTTATTCAATAAAATATACTCTAAGCTTCCTAAATTACACCGATAATGGACAGCAGATTCTGATTTAAACATAGTTAACTTAATCCTTAGTGTATATTTTAAATTTATGTTAAGCAAAATTCCAACTCAAGCAAAATGTATAGAAAATAAACAACCTTGGAGTATTTATTTATTTTAATAACAACTAGAAATATTCAATCATATAATTCTTATTAAAACGGTAAATAGATGATTCATACAAGGTATTGTTTTAAACTTATCCCAGCTTAAACAATAGTACATTTAAACCATTTAAACGAAAGCTCACAAATCCTCCTCTGTCATGATGTATAAAGCTTAAGAAATGAAGAAAGAAAGAAAAAGAATTCGATATAGTTCACTTACAGTTACTAAGTAATGGAAATTCATAATCAAAATGGTTATTTGAAAAAAAACTATTTCCACTAGAGTCTACATTACTACAAAATACAAAATATAATTTATCTGTAATTTTAAATCAAACCAATTTAGTTTTTTTGTAAATGATTACTTACCTACCAAAATTTTTACCAACAATACAATTCCATGTTGCTTTGTATTTACGATCAAATTCATGTTTAATATAACTTGCAATATGCATATCAATATTATGCTTTTCCATTGCAATTGCAGCTACATAAACAGCATCATCTTCCATTTCAGGTATCATATCTGATTTATCTATTACTGCACGAGATTTATCTATGGCCATTTTGTTTTGTTTTCTTATAGAGTAAAGATTAGTTATAACATTTCATTTCTTCTTTTTTTAAAAAGAGTTTATATCTACAATTAGTATTCACTAGTTTATTAATAATTGGTTACAAATTATGCGTTACCCTTCTTAACTGTCTTTATCTGTGAAATACTTTATGATGAATCTCATATTTTATCAAATGAAAATTACCACATTGTTCATACTGAGTGATATGAACTTTCTTTAAAGTAGGTTTGTATTAATAATATAATGTTCGTTAGCCTATAATACTAATCATGTAGTAACCTCCTTTAATTATTATATTTTATAAATTTTGTTTAAGATATAATTGGTGTGTGAATTTCGGTTAACAGATTCTGTATTCAAGATCCAAATTGTTAATTTCAAAATTTACTTTATTTCTGATCAATCTATACAACTGTACAGTTTGACAGAATTTTATTTTGCTAAGCCAAAACTTGACATCAATTACTGAAGTCACTAATTTCTAGCCTGAGCCATGTTGATAGAAGCAGACTACTTGGTTGGGGTCCGCGTAACTATCGTAACCAATGGTTGAAGACTCTGGGTGACATGGCTCAGAATCGATCACAATGGCTTTGGTGTATACACTCTCTATTTTCTCTTAAATCGAAAGATTATAATTACTTCATACCTTTCTAGTTCTTACTTCTTGTATTATGGCCTTATACACAATCTTCCTTTTATATATTACTACCATTGAAGTAACTACTTCTATAAATTTGGTGTTCATCTTGTTGTGCCAATGAGGTATGGCAACTTGGACCGATGCATATGTGTGCCTAGTTCTACGTTGTAGCTGAATAACTAACTGATTTTGCAAAATATCTTTTTCTATCAGGAGCTTCACTTAATCAGTAATAAAATTCAACACACAGTTATCACTTTTTTAAAATCTGTAATCCATGCATTTTTTTAGGAGTGTAGGCTTGAAATCTTAATTAGCACCCCATGTAGACCGATGTATTGTAACTGAATAAGTAAGCTAAAATCATAAGGACAAAAAGATTCATATGGCATGTGATTTCTTACTTCGTCAAAAATCTAGAATGAAAAGTCGATAATAATAAATGTTATCGTAACTCTAATTACTGGTTTATTTCAAAACCAGAGTTTTCAAACAACTCGAATACCTAAAATGACTATACAATTCATTAGCTTTGATAAATATTTGCGATTTCTGCTACCACTAGCCATAGTCTATCGGAAAAATTGTAATGAACAAACATAATGTCATATAAAATCCTTGTTCAATAAATAATAATAAAATACACTGATTGTTTTTGAGTATTCCTAATGATTTCTGTCCACCATATCATTTATTGAACATTCCATCTAATACTTATCATATCTTCCTCAAGTTAAATATTACACAGTTAATTCCGACCAAATCCTGGTATTCATATGCCTAGAAAACTGACTGGTTGTTACTACTTGTTATTGTTATTTATAACAAAGAATATTTGAGCAAAAAAATTGATTTCAATAACTTCGTCATCAGGCTTTATAATTATAAGTTCATAATTGTTGTGTTATTTTACAAGGGCCAAAATAAAATACGCTAGTGAATTAAACAATGTTATACACTGAAAACGGGAAACTTTTGAAGCTGTTACGTCATGAATACTTCAAAAATGTGTCATTTTGTAAATTCAAAACGTCATTTACATAAGGATAGAATGATTCGTTGAAATGTGTCATGGTATAACCAGTATAGTAATAATAATAAAATAAGTCATGTGAATAAATTACGTAGCAGGAGAATTTCATCTAGTTAATATTCTTTGTTTTTGATTTTTTTTTATGGTGGTTTTTAAAATATTGTTCACTGGTTTTCGAGTTATAAAAAAAAGATTAAATTTATCCCTGAAGAACATAAAGCTTATAATGTGAACCTAAACAAAGTAAATGGACCGAGATTGACCCAATAAAAAGTACACTACTCGTTAATTATCACCAAATTATTAAAGAAAATAATTTTCAAGGTACAACACTAGTATCATGGATACTAAGCGATCTATTTGAGTTAGGAATCGTTCACTGATGACTGTAAGATATTAAATGATATTAAAAAGATAAATGTTCTAAGGTTATCGCACTGATTAGTTTCGAAAACGCTACTTACTACACAAATGTTGATAAAGAACTAACTAATAATTTGGACACAGAAGTTTTCTAGATACATTTTAATCCACCACATACATTTGATGTTCATATTTTAAATACCAGTAAAATAACAACTCTAATTACCACCATGATGTGGTAATTTTAACTACCAATGTATAATTTAAACACATGATGTACTATAATGACAAGTCATAGATTCTATGTTAATCAGATGGTAATCCTCTAAGTTATCACTTTAAAATTCAAATCGAAAAGAGAATGAGTAACTAATCACCCATAAGATTAGTAATGTATTTCTTTAATTTCATGTGCTCACATTTTATTTTTCTTTTAACTAGTGTAACTTAAATGTAACCTGTATAACATACTATGCAATCAAAAACATGTTCGTTGATTTTAAAAGATTAACACATGTGATAGATATTATGACTTATATAAGTTATTCTTAAAATAAAACAATCGTAATTACTTTTAAGAAATTATGAAGAGATTCAGAATTCATGAAAAATCAATACAAATTAAAAAAGTAATTATGGATGAAGAAATGCAAATGGACGTTATAAGCACTGTTATTGCAGCATTGCATATGTATGGAAATGAATATACAAAAATGAAAAAGTTCATAGAAAACAAACTGAATAAACGTTATCTTCCTACATGGCATTACATAACTGGTTATGATGTGGATAGGTTAGTAAATATTTTCATTGTATTCATGTATTTTTTAATTATTCTGCGAAATCCATTTTGCCTAAACTTGTAGGTAATTCAATTCTGTAGAAACTTCATACAATAGTAAATGCAGATTTTCTTTATGTGAATCAAGCGCGTAGATCCGTTAAATCATATTTGTAACTAAGGGTTATTTGATGCTGGATATTAAGATCACCGCTGAAAGCACACAGTTGATTCGTAATATTTCGAACATTATTTGTCCCGGAAATTTTTGTCTATAATAATTAACATCCACTTAAAGAGGAATAAATCTGAAGTGTCTGTAGTAAAATGTATCTCACTACAAAACGATCGTATAACCAGATTAGTTAGGCTGAAATCTAAATCCTTACCTGTTTAGACAAAATGACAATGAAGTCTACTAAGTACTTACTTATGTTGTTGATTAATCGTTGAGTTTGTATTCCGATTAAACGTGATAAGTCCTTCTTCATAAAATCAATTCTACAATAATCTATCACTTCATATACGTGGTGTTTAAAGGCGACTTTAAAGAACCAACTAGATGAATAACTTACAACTACAGAGCCTTGTACAGAAAATACCTAATTACAAGAATTATAGTTTGGTTCATTACTCCTTTATATGAAGAATGTCTCTTTCTTCTAACAATTAGTTTACTGGACAAACACATGAACTAAAGGTAAGCAAGAATTTGATAATGAAAACTACAAGTGAAACAAATTACTTGAATTCACAACATCCATGAGTATTTATATATTCATCTACTTGTCCTGAACCATTGATGTAGGGCGTAAAATTCGTTTACGTACACTAGAACATTATCCGGATTGGTTGAGGAAAGGATAAGTAAGAGTGATTACGAGTCTTATTCTTGCTCATTTGGTGGACGCAGAACACCAACTTGAACTGAATAAGACTTTGAAGGATATCCATCAAATTTACCTCATGGTTGCCAAGTTTTTTTCTATATATTGCTGAAGTGATCGTGATCGAAGTCCGTAAACTTAATATCTGTATCCACAAAAAGTTTATACAACTCCTCTCTCCATCTTCGCCATCGATATTGAAGTGTGTTTTAGCTAAATTTTGATAAACCCCCATTCCTTTCAAAAATATTCAAACGGTTTTTCAATTTTTTTTCAATTTTATATTTCATATCTCCTCAATATTCGTCTCTTGACTCTTAAATAACTACCATAAAATCGACTTTTACTAAACTATTTTGTTATCTCTCATTTAAATATTACGTAATCTTAGGACCGTTTAACTGAATATTTCGATCTTTACAAATTATTGCTCCAATGATTATGGTCTTTTTCCCTCTAATTACTCAATTAATCATGTAATATTGCTTTATAATGATTTTGATATAATACTTACAACGTTACTCCACAATCTGATTAGCATCATTTTGTTGTAATATATATATATATATATCAGAAGTGTTTTTTGTGGATTTTATAGTAATTTCAATGGTTGAGATCATGAGTCAATTAAAGCTAGACCACCACTGAAAACCTGGAGGCGCTGGATGTCCATTTAGTCCTATTGTGGGACTCGTCAGTAGTGAGCATCCACGATTCCGCCTCGCGGGATTCAAACCCAGGACCTATTAGTCTCGCGCACGAACGCGTAACCACTAAACCACTGGGCCAATATTCAGTGATGTTAATATCTAACTTCAATAAATTCATGATCTCAACCAATGAAATTACTACAATATCCACAAAAAAACCTGATATGTATCAACATATGCTCACCAGTGACTGGCTTCAAGAAGTATTTCCTGGAGTTCTAGTGAGAAGAAGTAACCAGTGGAGTTCAAACGGGTCTGTTGTTTGATAGTAACTCACAGAAGACAATGGTGTATGTGTCTCTCAATTTCGTGGATTGGTTAAAGTTAGACATTAACACCGTTGGATACCGGCTCAGTGGTCTAGATGTTAAGCGTTCGCGCGCGAGGCTGATAGGTCCTGGGTTCGAATCTCGCGAGGTAGGATCATGGATGAGCATTGCTGAGGAGTCCCACAATAGGACGAAATGGCTGTCCGTTGCCTCCAGGTTTCCATGGTTATCTAGCTTCAATTGACTCATGATTTCAATCACTGATATATATATATATATATATATATATATATATATATATATATATATATATATATATATATATATATATATATATATATTAGAGTCATGACGAAAAACTTATTGAAAGGAAATTTTTTTGCCCTGTTCGTCTTTTACTAAATGTCTGAATGGCGACTTTTAAAATACCTAAATATTTTCATGCCCTAAAGAAAAAACCTTAAATAATTTATTATTTATCGTCGTTGAAAATAACTGGAACATACACTATAGTGAAACA